CGCAACAACCCAGAGGACAGCCATCTTTAGAAATTTTATTAGAATTACGGATTTATACATATGTATATATTGTTTTATTCAGGTTGAAGTGGCTTATCTGCTGTCTATTGTGTTCTGTATCAGCCTGTTGGTTGACACAGTGAATGGTACCATCACCTTTAAGGTTTTCCTGCAAGTCATGGAGCCCAGCCTCGAAGTCATTGTAAGTACTTACATTTTCGTTGTATTTTTATTATGTCTGGACTGTAAGGAAAACCACGTCTGTAGTGGATGATCATTCGGTCGCTTTATTAAAAAATATATGTTGGGCCTGTAGTTAGTTATAATTTTGTCTGTTATGACTTCTAAAGTGTTACGCCCTTTATAAGTCCAAGTGTCTGCACTGCTATATTTAATTAACAACAATATATTAGCTGTTTTCTTATCAGAATGTCTGGTATAGTATATTAAGATGTTTTACATAGATTTTTTTTTATTATTATCAGTAGTGATTGCAGTATAAAGTTAAACTTTTAGGTTCATGAGAACTTTGTAAATAGAAATCTGGCACCATTTTGTATGAGGGTATTAAGATGGCTGTCACGTTAGTTCTGTGGGTCCAATAGCCTTGTGTGGCAGAATGAAGAATGAATGCAGAAATTCAATTCGGGAACTTCAAGCAATGCCAAATCGACTTCCCAAACGTTAACCTCTAAACGGAGAAGACTTTAAACCAATGTCAGAAAAAGCTTATCCCTTATCCGGTTTCATTGTGTTTCTCGGAGGTCTTAAATAATGATCTAATAAATTTTGTTTCGTCTTTGGTTTCAATTCCATTTTGGGGCAAAGGGGCCAAACGACTTTTTTTTATGGACATTGCTCTCCGGTTTCCATATATGGATCTGAAGATCTTCGGAAGAATGGTAGTCGAGGAACGCAAACTGGATTTGCATTCATGGAAACATATTGAGAATAATCTATTAATTAAAATAAACTAACAAGACGGTTTTCGACCAAACTTATGCACCGAAACTTTCAACTTTATCATGCTTTCTTTACATGAAATAGGCACGTATAAAATGAACTCATAATCGTGAGGTTGTGTCCGTCTTTCCATCTTCAGATTTGACTTTGTATCTGTTGAGAGGAATTAGATTAAATTGGTAATCCAAATCAGGCTATAAATCAGTTGCACATCATTCTAATTTCTTGGAAACTAATTTGGATTCAAAAACTTTCCGAGTATTCTCATTACGAGATTTTATTGTCCCTAGTTAGGGTTGCCTTTCCTTAAGAATCGGTAAAGTAGCGTGTTGTGACTTCGGTGTATCGACTCGTGGAGAGGGATTACAATTTCACATGACAATTAAGTTGACTGAAATTTTGGAGAGGATGAATCTTTATCCTCCCAAAACGGAGAATGTCGTTTTTGGTTTTTAGTTTTGATAAAACCGAAGACTGTTGGGATTTTGGCAACTCGGTGCTTGAACGCCACTGGAACATTCTACTTGTATCTTTATAGGAGATGCTTGTAACACAAAAGAAACTTTGTTGCGTTTTGTTTCGTTAACAATTTCAATAAATTATTTAACTTTAAATTTTTAATAACCTTGCATAACATTGTCTCTTTGCTAGTTTTAATAACGTGTCCACGTCTTTTTGAAAAGTTTATGAAGATAAGAATTATGTCTTCATGCCGTAAGATGTCACATCTAAGATTTAGACTCATAATATTATTTTGTGATGATGTCTATTGTGTAATTTTCGTGGAGTTTAATGTGAAATATGGGACCAAGTCTTTCGCGTGTCTTCAGCGAAGTACACTTGACTGGACTGGTCGAGTCTATTAACAGACACAGGTTGGCAAGAAAATATAAGTTTTTACAAACTATAGGCATAATGAATTCATTTTATACAGAAAACAATCTATCTAAATTTAAAATTTTAACGAAATAACAATAAAAATTCTTCGTAATTGTAGCACGATTTTGGTAGTGATAGGTAAATGTTTTCAATCTTTAATATAACTACTTTTCAACCATCCCTCGTCTTGATTTTTACAGCGGAGCAAATTTGTGCGATTTTTCCCACCAGAATTATTTTTCTTTCCATCTTGGGTAGACCACGAACAACCATGAAGTTACATATGATTACCAACTACTACTCGTACATGTGCCTTGTGTGACATTCTCACAACACTCAAAAATGAATAAAAATTCTGTCGTTAATTCGAACCAGTCGCCAGAAAAATGGAATTTAGCCAACTCCCGAAACGTCGTGTAACAATATATAAAGTGAATCTCCGTCAAAATCTCAAATCCCATAATGTCAAATATAATATATAATATTTACACAATATGTCTCTTCACTGTGAGGTATTTATAATTTTTATTTAAATCCATTTCACAGATACAATGGTGAACGAATTATAATTAGTTGTCTTGTTACGTAGTGGCGTATTCTGCAGTGGAAATGTGCAACTAAGATATAAACCAGTGGTTTTCAACCTGGGGTACGCGTACCCCCGGGGGTACGCGAAGAAATCTTAGGGGGTACGTGAAATTTAAAAATATATATATATATTATTTTATGATAAACACTGAATAATCAGTAATGTAATTTATTTAATTTATTTTAGATGTAGATTATATACTATGTATAACTTGAATTATACACCAACAACTTTGGGGGTACAAAGTTGAAGAGAAATTATATCTGGGGGTACGCGAAGACATCTTAGGGGGTACGTGAAATTTTAAAAAAAAAAAAATATATTATTTTATGATAAACACTGAATAATCAGTAATGTAATTTAATATATTTTAGATGTAGATTACGTAAAAAAAAGTTGAATACCACTGTTATAAACCGTCGGAAGAAATATATTAAAATGTATTTCCATTGAAATGATGAACTCCTGATGAGGGGGTGCTGTTCTTAACTTCGGTAACCTAGCTTTATGACGTCAGTTTTACTCATACAGCTAGATAACCAAAGAAAACATCAGCGCCAATATTTCACTGAAGTACTGTATTTAGAGGTACTTACTTATAAGTACTTACCGTAAACTTTCACGAGTTGATTGATGTTCTGTCTGAGCTGACAACTAAAATAAATTTTTCATCGAATAATCGAAACATTTTTATAGTTTATGTACTATTTATGTACTAGGGTCTCGGGTTCGATTCCCGGCGGTGCCCGAATTTATAACTTGTGTTGGGCAAGGCCGCGGTCTAGGCAACACGGAGTTTTCCTCCGTGGCATCCCAACAATTACTCCATTCACACACAGAAGAAGGCAATGGCAAACCACTTCTGGATCATCTGCCAAGAACGTATATGAACAGGTCCCAGTCCGAGAAAAGGATGGAAGGATCCTGTTCATATGGACCTGTCGTCAGACAGAACACTAAATAATAATAATACATATATATTTATTTAGGATGTTTCTTCTCGTACCAATGGTGTTCCGGATCACTGGTGATATTTCTAGTCCATTTAGCACAAAATTGCCGGGTTTTTTTTATAACCGTTCTTCACTCAAGCATTATATATACTTAGTGTAATTTCTTGGTTGGTGCGATAAAGTTTTAAAAATAGAGAAGAAAGTCTGACATGGAAACCCATTTCACGAGCCACAACGCCAAGTCTGTGGTCAGCATTCCAATCATACCTGATGTTCGTTGTCTGGTCGAGCAGACCAACCCAGGTACAGAACGGGTACTCGGAGGGTGGGTTGGAACCGGCCTGCCTCCTCGCTTGCCGCAGCTAATATAACAATACATTTCGTGGTATAAGAACCGACTGAATGGTTTGCTTGAGGCATCCAGAACTGGTTTTTTATGGTTATACTCTCTTACATGCATTCGGTCTGTTTTGTGAGCTTTATATTTCGACTTCATAGCACTCTCTTCTATAGCACTATCAACAATTTTTCGGCTGATAACTTTGAAGTTACCCCGAAGGAAACTGTAGATGTCTGCTAGTTGAGAAATTCCTCGGTTTTAATGAAAATATTGTAGGATTTGGGGTTTTAGAGGCGGTGAGTCTGAAGGTGGCTGCCTTCTGGGTTAGCGCCGTGTAGTCTGGTAGAAGTTTATCAAACTTTCGATGGTTATTTCTACCCCCATCATCAGGGCGATGACTGTCGTAAACTTCTACCAGACGCTTAACCCTACAAGATATATATCTTCGTACACTACTTTGTTCACAAGAGTCAACCACGGTTCTTATTCTGAGCTATTTGAATCCAATCCACACCCGAAACCGGTTTTTCTTAAAATATGTTCTCTCGATTATTTCATCCTCCTGCTGATGTGGTCGCTGGGACCATGGGTTCGAATCCCACTCAAGGCACGGATGTTTGTCCGCGTTTTTCTGTGTTGTCCTGCCGATCCCTCGTCCAAGGAATCCTACCAGCCAGCATAGCTAATGTGCGACCTTGTGGAACACCGTTGAATGTTGTGCGTTGACATTTTGTTGAAGTATTTTAAAAAAAATGTAGATATTATTGAGAATATTTTAAAATAATGTAAAAACCACAGTGTGACTAAAACATATATTTTTTTTGTTTGATGGTGTGTACGTAGTTTTGAATAATTGTAATTTTACATGCGAAACGTTTCTAGTATTGCGAGTGTTATAGAAACCTAAATATTGAACCTTTTGGAATCCTACACAAATGTCTTGTACCGTTAATTTAATTTATATTAAAATTTTGTATCAGTATAATGGGACAGCTTTACTTTTATCAGTTCAGGAAACACTTAATCAAACTTCTGTTTCGATACGATCTATTGTCACGCATGGCTGGCTTTCCTAATGTGTTGAAAGTTGGCAATTACTATAAGGTGATCTAAAAGTTACGTACACAAAATTTTTGAGACATGTTTTGTTCGCCAACAAAAATAAATTGCACTGAAAAAAAAAAGTTTCTTAAGTGTAGGATATGTCGAGAGCGTGACAAAGTTTGACGGATATCGTCCAAACTATCGCCATTTAACGGCGAAGTTCGACCGGGACTGTTTCTCTCCTGCGCGCTTCCAGCGTCAGGGGAATGGTTCACCAGACGAGATATTTTCAATTTGTTTTCCGAAAGAAAATCGAGAAATGTTTCCCTAAATTAATTCTATGAAGTTATGTAAGAACGAGTTGCCACGTAGTGTTCGACAATGAACACTCGCTGCGCTTGTGAAAAAGACATCCTTGCACTTCGACTGTTGAA